AGTCTCTTGGATGCCGTTGACTAGTACGTGGAAAAAGACACGGAGCAAGTACCTGGAATTTGTAGGAGCTAAGCTAATTTTAGAAAATTGAATATAAATTTGAAAAAAATGAGCAATGGATTCTACAGGGCGATTGTAAAGTATCATTTGAAATTAACGATTCCCTGTGGTAATCCGAATTGGTATTCCTCGTTTGAAAAGAACCTAGACCCAGTATCGGGCCGTAGTATTGCCCAATACTTGCAGCAGGTAACGCGCGGAATTGGGTTAGAAAGTACGCCACGTAACCTTCAGATAGCTTTGAGTGGTTAGGTTGCGAAATAATTTTGGTTAGTTGGCTTTTCTCGGAAATTATAATATTACCGGTTAGCAAAGAGAGGCGAAAATCGTGAGTGAAATAGGAGAGACGATTTTTTGTAAGAATTTTGAAAAAAAAAAATAGGGCATTGTTAAATTATGGGGAATTCACTTATTTGACCTTTCGTTCTATTCGGCACGCCCCATTGGTGGATGGCCTTCGAAGCGAGAAGCTCATTGGTCGAGTTTGATTCTTTTCCCTCGCCAGCTACCAATGACGTAGCACATTCAAATTCACGCACAGTTACGGGGCACGCTGTTGCGCGACATAAAATATTCGTGGAAATCATCTCCACTTCGTTATGCATTATTGTAAGCAGCATAGGAAAGACAAAGAAACCATTTTTTTTTTCTTCAAAAATTCCTAATCGATCAACCCTTGCAAATACTCTTCGAAAAGAAGGAATCGTTCATTTACCGACGAGCTTAGGATAGCACGTTACCAGTCGGTAAAGAAGAATCGGCAAGCGTGCCGAATCGAAGGAACTCGAGTAGGTTAGAGTACGGAGGTTCTTTTATTCCTCATTAGGACCAATGACCGACACATGCGGACTGCGCAGAATACGCTTTGCTTCGAGAAAAAAAAAAGACAAATAAAGAGACCGAGCAAGATTCGTAGCTCGAGGATTACGTGCCTCGAAAGAAAAACGTAATCGGTTCTGTCGTAAGGAATAAGTAAATGCAAGATTAAGAAAATTTTTTTTCATAAAATATTTTTAATTCCCAAAAAATTATTTTACATCGTCTCATCTTCGGCTTGCGGAAAACCACGTGACGACGACGAACACGTGCGTCACTCACAGTGACATGGTGCCATCGACTGTCACGACGCGGAAATATTATTCCCAACTGTCAAATTCTTGGCATCGCGCAAAATCGTAATTTACAAAAAAATTATACAAATTTTTTTTTCGAATTATTAATAAATCTCAGAGAACCACATCACGTATGTGTACTGATACAAAGAATCCGCGATAAATTTCCTTCGCGGTCTTACAACGGGTGGGTCCGTAATATTTTTTCTGTATCTCCATGAAACTTTTACCGATCCGTCGTATCCTATTCGCGCCACAGGAGAGAAGCCCGAAAGGAGCGTGACTGTTTTTCGAAATAAAGGGAAACGAGACACGTTTCATTTCAAGAGCATACATATTCAACATACGTGCTCACGGATTTCACGCAACGACCTACACGACTGGAAACTCGACTGGATCGATGCCCATATCGATTGCGTAAACAATGGCTCCTGTAAGAGCTGCCGATTTTCATCGTGTCGCAAAGTCCTGAACACGTGGTCGCATGGGAAGCTTGAACGAGCAAGAAACAAAAATAAACGAACCAGACTCCGACGTATGTTTGGCCAGGTGTCATAGGAGCCTTGAGCAGTCAGCTGATTCTGTGCTTGCGACTTGAGTGCTAGCGAAAACGCGTGTCATGGGCTTTAACGAGAGACAATAATAAAAAATCAAGGAGAGGAAAAAAAGAGAGAGCGAGAGGGAGGACTCCCGCCCCCCCCC